CAGCAGCCAAATTCGTGGCACCATGGTTGGCTCTGCTGCATAGAGAGGGAGAAATAGTCCCAGAAATGCTATAGTTATAGAGGATTTTTTGTGGCTGCGAACAAGAGTCCAAGATAGTGTGTTGCCTCCCTGGTGTTAAGGTTCTGGACGTCTCAAAGCGTTTGCAGGACATTCGGTGGGGCGGGGGTGTGGGGGTCAGCCAGTGATCGTGGTACACAGAATATAGAGAACTAGGAAGTTGAAATGTAGGACCTCAAAAGGTAGTTATTTCAGGATTACTACCATTGACATGAGCTAGTCAGAGTAGAAACAGCAGGATATATAGGATAAAATGTGGCTGAAAAGATGATGTGAGGGAGTGTGTTTCAGATTCGCGTTGCATTGGGACTGGTTCTGGGGAAGGTGGGATCTGTACAAACTGGATGGGTTACAGTGGGGCAAGACTAGGACTGATGTCCTTTGGGTGGGGGGCTGTACTTGTTGGGTGATTGGGGGAGATTTAAACTAGTGTGGCAGGGGAATGGGGATCAGAAGAGTATGGTACACGCAGAAATTGACAGAGAGGTAGATACCAAGGCAAACATGACTAGGAACAAGAACAGGCAGGGAAATGTTGCTGAAAAGAGCAAGGGAGGTGGCCTGAAATGCATGTGTTTCAATTCAAGAAGTATAATAGGCAAGGTAGATGAACTGAGAGCTTTGGTTAGTACTTGGAACTATAACATTATTACGATTACATAGACTTGGCTGAAAGAGGGGCAGGACTGGCAGCTGAATGTCCCAGGATTTGGATGTTTCAGGTGTGATAGAAGGGAATGTAAAAGAGGTGGGGGAGTTGCATTATTGGTAAAGGAGTATCTAACAACTGTACTGAGGGTGGATACATCAAAGGACTCATGCAGTGAAGCAATGTGGATGGAACTCAGGAATAGGAAAGGTGAAATCACAATGCTGGGGGTATATTATAGGCCTCCCAACTGCCAGAGGGAGATGGAGGAGAGAACATCTAGACAGATTTTGGAAAAATGCAGAAACAAAAGGATTGTCTGGTGGATGATTTTAACTTCCCCCATATTGAGTGGGACTCACTTTGTGCTAGGAACTTGGATGGGGCAAAACTTCTAAAGACTTTTCAGGAGGGTTTCTTGACATAGTATGTAAACAGTCCAACAAGGGAGTGGGCTATACTGGACCTGGTTTTGGGAAATGAACCCGGCCAGGTGAGTGAAATTTCAGTGGGGGAGCATTTCGGGAGTAGTGACCATAATAACCGTGAATTTTATAATATTCATGGATAGGGATAACAACAGTCCTCAGGTGAAAGTCTTAAACTGGGGGAAGGTGAACTACAACACTGTCAGGCAGAAACTGGAGAAGTTTGACTGGAGGCAGCTGTTTGAGGATAAATCCACATCGGACATGTGGGAGTATTTCAAATGGAAGTTAATAAGAGTTCAGGAATGGCACGTTCCTGCGAGAATGAAGGATAGGTATGGCAGGTTACATTATCCTTGGATGACCAGGGATGTTATGACCTTGGTCAAAAAGAAAAAGTAAGCATACATAAGGTCTAGAAGGATGGGAACTGATGAAGCCCTTGAAGTATATAAGGAAAGTAGGAAAGAACTTAAACAAGGAATTAGAAGGACTAAAAGGGGTCATGAAAAGTCATTAGCAAACAGGATTGAGGAGAATCCCAAGACTTTTTATACATATATAAAAAGCAAGAGGGTAGCCAGAGTAGGAGTTGGCCCACTCAAGGGCAAAGGAGAGAATCTGTGTGTAGAGCTAGAAGAGGTAGGTGAGGTCCTAAATGAATACTTTGTGTCAGTATTCACCAAAGAGAAGAAATTGGTGAAGGATGATCTCAGAGAAGGGAGTGTCAAATTTCCAAGCCAAGTTGCTATTAAAAAGGAAGCGGTGCTGTGCGTCTTTAAAAGTATTAAGGTAGATAAGTCCCCAAGTCCTGATGGGATCTATCCAAGAATACTGAGGGATGCAACAGAAAAAATTGCTGCAGCACTGACAGACATCTTTGTAACCACTTTGGCCACAGGTCCCAGAAGACTGGAAAATAGCCAACATTGTCCCATTGTTTAAGAAGGGTAGCAGGGATAATCCAGGAAATTACAGGCCAGTGAGGTTCATGTCAGTGGTAGGGAAATTATTGGAAAAGATTCTCAGGGACAAGACCTATATGCATTTAGAAGCAAATAGACTTATTAGTGATAGACAACATGGTTTCGTGCGAGGGAGGTCATGCCTCACTAACTTGATTGAGTTTTTTGAGGAAGTGGTGAAGTTGCTTGATGAGGGAAAAGCAGATGATGTTGTCTACATGGACTTCAGTAAAGCCTCTGACAAGGTCCCTCATGGCAGACTGGTACAAAAGGTGAAGTCACATGGTATCAGGGTGAGCTGGCAAGATGCATTAGTCATAGGAGATAGAGGGTAACGGTGGAAGGGTGCTTTTCAGAATGGAAGGTTTAGATTAGCAGTGTTTCACAGGGATCAGTGTTGGGACCTCTGCTGTTTGTGGTGTACATAAATGATTAGGAGGAATATGTAACTGGTCTAATTAGTAAGTTTGTGGATGATACAAAGATTGGTGGAGTTGCGGATAGTGGTGAGAATTGTCACAGGATACAGCAGGATATAGATCAGTTGGAGGCATGGGTAGAAAAATGGCAGATGGAGTTTAATACATACAAATGTGAGGTGATGCATTTTGGAAGGTCAAGTACAGGTGGAAATTAAACAGTGAATGGCAGAAACCTTAGGAGTATTGATATGAAGAGGGATCTGGGTGTGCAGGTCCACAGATCACTGAAGGTGGCAGCACAGCTAGATAAGGTAGTGAAAAAGGCCTATGGCATGCTTGCCTTCATTGGAAAGGGCATTGAGTATAAGGATGGGCAAGTTATGCTGCAGCTTTATAGAACTTCAGTTAGGCCACACTTTGAATATTGCGCACAGTTCTGGTCACCACACTACCAGAAGGATGTGGGTGCATTAGAGAGGGTACAGAAAAGGTTTACCAAGATGTTGCTTAGCATGGGGGATTTTAGCTATGAAGAAGGGTTGGATAGACTGGGTTTGTTTTCACTGGAATGCAGGAGGTTGAGAGGTGGCCTGATAGAAGTTTATAAGATTGTGACTGGCATGGATAGAGTGTAAAGTATGAGGCTTTTTCTCCAGGGTGGCAAGGTTAATTACTAGGGGACACAGGTTCAAGGAGTTGGGGGGTGGGGGCGGGAAGTTTAAGGGAGATGTGTGAGACAGGTTTTTCACACAAACGGGTTTGAGTGCCTAGAAAATGCTGCCAGGGGAGGTGGCGGAAGCAGACACAATAGCAGCATTCAAGAAGCACCTGGATGAAGTCATGAGCAGGAAGGGAATAGAGGGATTCAGATCCTGTAAGTGAAGATAGTTTTCGTATGGAAAAGCAAAATGTCTTTGCAGAGGCTTGGAGGGCCAAATGGTCTATAACTGTGCTGTGTTGTGTTGTTCTTTGTTAATCTTGATCAATTGGGCCAATGGACTGAGGAGTGGCAGATGGAGTTTAATTTCGATAAATGCAATGTATTGCATTTTGGTAAAGCGAACAAGGATAGGACTTATAAGGTTAATGGTAGGGCTCTGCAAAGTCGAACAGAGATATGTGGGGTTCAGGTACATAGTTCTTTGCAAGTTGTGTCACAGGTAGACAGGGTGGTTAAGAAGGCATTTGGCATGTTTTCCTTCATTGCACAGACCTTTGAGTATCGGCACTGGGAGGTCATGTTGAGGCTGTACAGATGAGGTCACTTTTGGAGTACTATGTACAGTTCTGGTTGCCCTGCTATTCAAAAGGTATTATTAAACTGAAGAGGGTTCAGAAAAGATTTACAAAGATGTTGCCGGGACTGGAGGGTTTGAGTTATAGGGAGAGACTGGATAGGCTGGGACTTTTTTCACTGGAGCATAAGAGGTTGAGGGTGACATTATAGAGGTTTATAAAATCATGAAGGTCATAGAAATGGTGAATAGCAAAGATCTTTTCCCTAGGTGGGGAAGTTCAAAACCAGGGGACATATTTTTAAGGTGAGTGGAGGAAGATTTAATAAGGTCGTGAGGAGCAACAGTTTCGCACAGAGTTGGCTCGTATGTGAAATGAACTGCCAGAGAGGTGGCAGGTAGATACAGTTACAACATTTAAAAGACTTTTGGACAAGTACATGAACAGGAAAGGTTGAGCGGGAGATGGGCCAAACACAGTCAAATGGGATTACTTTGATTTGGGAAACTTGGTCAGCATGGATGAGTTGGACCAAAGAGTCTGTATCCATGCTGTATGACTCCATGATTTTCCATACCCATTGAATCTCTACAGTGTGGAAACAGGCCCTTCAGCCCAACAAGTCCACACCGACCCTTGGTGCATCCCACCATGACTCATTCCCAAAACCACTAATCTACACACCCTGGACACAATGGGCAATTTAGCATGGCCAATCCACCTATCCTGCCCATCTTTGGACTGTGGGAGGAAACTGGAGCACCCAGAGGAAACCAAGCAGACACGGGGAGAATGTGCAAACTCCACACAGACAGTCACCTGAGGGTGGGAATCAAACCCAGGTTCCTGGTGTTGTGAGGCAGCAGTGCTAACCACTGATCTGCCATACTGAAATGTCAAAGGTTTTTATTCCCAGAGAATAGTAGATTGTTACCACATAAGGCCAAGCCATTTAGCCCATCAAATCCATGTATGCAAGTTTCGAAGTCACTTTTCTAATTCCACCTTTCTGTTTAGTCTTCAAATACTCTTTTCCTTCTTTCTTGGCAACTAAACAAATCTATTTTAAGATAATTTAGTATGAAAAATACTTAGCTGTTCCCTTTTTTGTTGTTTTTCCTCATGATTTTGTTGAATATATTTTCCATTGGGATGCAAGTATTTTCCCTTGTTATCATTGTATTCCCTTTATTACAATTCTGTAATTGATAGTTCATTTTACCTGTTTTGGAATTAAGTCTGAAGAATTTTCCATCAGATAATAGCATAAATGATAAATGAGAATTTTCTCCTGAATCCCAATCTGTTGCTTGTACTTTTCCAACCAGGCCATGTGGAATGGGGTTTTCTTCAATTGTGAAAAAGTACAAATTTTGTGTAAATATAGGAGGATTATCATTTTCATCCATAACATTAACCATTACAGACGCAGCCGCACTTTGCTTTAAGTGCTTCTCTGGATTTATGGCAAATACCTTAAAGTTGTAACTATGCTTCTTTTCATAGTCCAGAGCTTTATGAATATAAATCCAGCCACTAGCAGCATGGATGCCAAACGTTAATGAATCCAAGTTTTGCTGAAGTGAGTAAACTAAGCCCGAGGCCACCTTAAAATCTTGTTTGTGAGCATGAACTTGCAAAATTCTCATATTTAATGGTGCAGCTTCACTGACTTCAACTTGGTAAACTAGTGTTTCAAATGTCAAATCACCATCCAAATGGTCAACATTCACTAATAACATGAACACAGCGCTCAGAGGTTGGGCTCCCTGGTCATTTGCTACAATATGTATACTGTATTGTTGTTTCATTGATGAAACAGTCCTGTTCAGATAAAGTGTTCCATGTATGTAATCAATGGTAAAAGTTTGTTTATAGTCATTCTGTAGACTGTACATGACTATTCCATTTAATCCACTGTCTTGGTCTTCAGCGTAAGCAACGTAGATAACTGTTCCTGGCAAGGTATTTTTTGAAATGGTAATACTTTCAGATTCTTGATGGAAAGCTGGTGCATTATCATTAACATCAGTAATTGTTATGTTGACCTGTGCACAGCTGTAGACAGGAGAGCTGCTGGTTTGAGACTCTACAGTAAGCAACACAAAATGTTGGGCTTCATGATCTAAGTGCTTACTACTTCTGATAAGACCAGATTCAGATTCAATAGAAAAATAGCCATACGGATCACCAGAGGAAATTTTGTATTTCAATTCTAGAGAATCTGAAAAAGGGAAAAAAGATTAAACATTTTAGATTAAATACAAATCCATACAAGCACAGATGTTAACTTCTCCAAAGTCATGTTATTTTTCTGTAATCAGCCAATGGCTCTCAGCACACATTAAGCTGTTGACTTCATTCTTTGATAAAACCATATAGTAAACCCTTTTCAATCGGAAAAATGTACATTCAATTTGATATCTTCAAATTTCCCACATTGTCCTTAAATATATATTCCAAATATTACCTTCTCATGTTCTTAAATGTTGAGTTATGCTAATGTGCTAAGAAAATCTGCAGCATAAAGAATGCTATGCATTCATCACCATTTACCACTATATTCAGCTATGGCCTGAAACATAGATCTAAATTTTTGCTCCTGGATTAGGTAATGGATTTCATGAAGTTTCCCACTTGCTGCACCCACAATGGGAACAATTACATCAAATGATGGGGTCTTCATTATAGGGAGGGTGATGGAAGAAAACGATGGAGGCACTTATGCCACCTAACAATCAGACTGGAGGTGGACACGGGCTGCCAAGTGCTGAGTAGGCTGGTTAAAGGCACACTGTCCCGATTGTTTCTTTAAACATTAGTCCCTCTGACACCTTCATCGTCTCCCTGTAGGCCCCCAACTTCCTACTTTAACTCAGGACCTCAAAACTTCATGGCTCCTCAACTCCCTTTCCACTGATTTAAGGCTTGAAAAAGAATAAGCACAATGCTGCCTGATCTGTATTTGCTAATTTATACCTGCTCCCTTTCCAACATTGTAAACTGCAACACTACTCAGTGACTCCTCAGTGGTAACTTACAGCTGAGGCGGCAGAGGTCCAAACTTCCTGAGGAAGCCTAGACTACTCCCATAACCCCAGGTCGAAGGCAGAAAAGTTACCAACATCAGTAATAGGAACAGTAACGAGCCACTCAACACCTCAAGCATTCTCTGCCATTCAGTAAGATAGAAGTGATTTTCCACTACAGCCACACCTTCCCACAGTAGCCTCATTTTTCCTTGATTTTCTTAGTATCCAGAATTCTAACAATCTTGGACATTATACATTTTTCAGTTTACTACTCTACTTCTGTACTTGAGTACACATGATAATAAAATCTGGAATCTAAAAAAAATCTAACCTAATCTCCAGTTTATAGTTAACAGTACTAGAGTAAGGTTAAAGAAAGTTAAAGTAAGTAAAGTGATTTAAAACGTGGGACTTCCCATGTAGATGCAACAGTCAAGAAGGCACAACAATGCCTCTTCTTCCTCAAGTGGCTCAGGAAATTTGGCATGTCCATAACGACCCTCACCAACTTTTACAGATGCATCATTGAAAGCATACTGTCCGGATGCATAATGGCCTGGTATGGCAACTGCTCTGCCCAGGACCATAAAACTACAGAAGGTGGTGTGCACAGCCCATCACGGAAGCCAACCTTTCATCCATGGACTCCATTTACATGACTCGCTGCTGCGGAAAGGCTGCCAACAAAGACACATCACAACCCGGTAATGATCTCCTACAACCTCTTCCATCAGGCAGAAGATACAGAAACCTGAACACATGCACGAGCAGGTTCAGGAACAGCTTCTTTCCAGCCATTATGTGTAGAAAGTCTATAAAATCATGTTAATGAGCTGACCTCTCATTCAGGGCCAGGCATGATCAAATCAGCCTCAAGCCAGCTGATTATCAGTGAAGTTCTAAAAGTTTACCTAAAAGATCTAAAATGGTATATATATAACAGCTCAACTTATCTTTTAAGAACATTGGGCACCTGAAACCCACCTTGGATATTTGCAATTTGTACTCTTCCAACAGCACTTCCTATAGGAACACTTTCTAGTATGGTAAAGGAATAAGAAGATTGCTCGAACACTGTCGGAGCTAGAGAACTTTGAAGAATGTGGACAGTTACAGTTGCATTCATAGGCGAAGTCAAATTGCCACCATCACGTGCAGAAATTTTCAACTGCACATCAGAAACCTGTAGATGACTGAAGATAGAAGTTAAATACACCGCACCTAGAAAACAAAAAGAAAGCAATATTAGCCTCCATGTCATCAAGTTTAAACTGACATATTTAAGGGATTTAGCATTAAATGAGATGGGAGAATGTCTCGCCATTCTCCTGCCTTTTGCCCATTTAAATTAATGGAAAGAAACCGGAGTTTGCTGTTTCCCAGTATGTGCTCCTGAAACCATGGAAATAATATGTTCTGAAGTGTTTTTCTTAGCTGACATTTTCTGTTTCTGACTCACAAATTCAACCAGTTAGTTTGATACATCTTTGTTTAGAATAAAACCAAGGTTTGTCAAAGTTACATTTCAATTTACCTTTCAGCGGGACTTAAAGTATTAGGTAAGACAACATAAATACAGAACTAGAGTATTAATCAGCATCAGGTTAACTCAATTTGTAGGCAACTGTTCACATACCCTGATATTGACAGCATCTACTGTATGCACAAAATTACACTTTTTCATTCTTTCCTAAGATGACAGCATCGATGGCAAGGTCAGCATTTATTGGTCATACTTAATTGCCCTTGTAAAGGCATCCAATTCAGACAGATATTCACAAGGTTGCACCAATCTTTAGCATTTGAGATTTAAACCATTTTTTTTAGGTAGGTGGGATTTTTTGGAATGATGGAGGTTGGTGGAAGGAAGAAAGGTTAACAATAAGAAGTTCACATCACTTAAACAAATAACCTTATTTTTCAATAAAGAAGCACTTCTGACCTTATCTTACCTTACAAGATAATGAGGCTTTTATATTTCATTGACTAATGGAACCATTATGAATTTAAGATAAAACTATCTTCAAAGAAAGATATTTTAATAGTGACTAATTTTAGGTCCGATTAAAAATCATGTTTTTGAGTCAGTGATGAAATGATGAATGCTGGAACTATGTGGGGGGAAATACCACTATTGATTACATTCTAAAATGGTACAGGTATCAACGTTGTGTCTCCAGTCTGAGCAAGAATCAGAAATCTTAATGCCAAATATCTGGGGTACACATCAAATTCTCAATTAAACTTAGACTGAGAGAACAGCAATGAGCAGAGGGGCAGTGGTTTCCAGAGGAAAGCAAATTTGACAAGAGTCAATTTTCTATCTTTACAGCATTGGCAAAGACTGATTTTTTTTTTTAGTCAGGATCTGGGACATTCCATGAACTGGAAGGACTTAAAATACAGAGGCAGATCTGGTACAGGACATTATCAGTTTTACTAAACAATAAATTTGGCAGAAATGAATGTGATTACTACAGCAAAGTACAATATGAACAATGTAAAGTTGAAATCAGAAGAAATAATTTTATTATACCTGTCGAGGAGTCTACAGAGAACAGAGAAGAGAAGTTTCCAGCTAGAAGTTCATATGACACCTTTCCATTGACTCCAGAATCCCTGTCAGAGGCCATCACATTTGTAATCTCTGTTCCTGGCTGTGTATGGCTGCTGATGCTGGTTACGTAAGTCAATGGGTTGAATAAAGGTTGGTTATCGTTGATGTCTTGTAGATCTAAGTGGATAAATGACTGGGCACTCAAACCACCCTATAGAAAAATAATAATTGACACTAATCTAACATTTATGTAATTGCATGCAACTGTGAATATAATCTCCAGATTACTACCTGAGCCACAAACTAACTGGCACAGGGTCAACATATTGAAGAGTTAAATGTGTGCCTCAAAGATTGATGTAGGAGAAACGGATTTGAATTCATGGAATACTGGCACCAGTACTGGGGAAGGAGGGAATTGATCCAACTGGACAGGCTCTACCTGAATCATGCTGGGATGAGAATCCTGGTGAATCACAAAACTAGGGTTGTATATAGGGCTTTAAACTAAACAGTTTGAGGTAGGTGGGGGTTAGTGATTTGGCTGAGTGCCACAATAAATAAATGGAAAGGACAGATGTATAACTGTTATATTGTAACATTGAAACTGTCTAAGTGTAGGAAAGCTTGATAACAGAATAAACTTGGAGGCTTAGTATCTTAATGCACAAAGCATTCGGAACAAGGTAGACAAACTAATGACGCAAATTGAGGTAAATGAAAATGATCTCATAGCCATCACAGAAACACGGTTACAAGGAGATCACAATTGGGAACTTAAAATTCAGGGATATTTGACATTTGGACTGACAGGAAAGTTGGAAAATATGTTGGGGTAGTACTGTTAACAAGAATGAAATGAGAACAGTTGAGGGTGATGATCTAGGCCAGGATGATGTAAATTGCATTCGGGTGGAGAAAAATAAAACAGCAAAGGAAAGAAGACATTGGTAAGAGTAGTGTACAGACTCCCCTAAACAGTAGCCACTCTGTGGGAAAGGTTACAAATCAACAAATAATATGACTAAAGGCAGATAAGTCCTCTGGTAATGGTGGGTTGCATCCTAGGATCTTAAAAGAGATAGCGACAGAGAAAGTGGATGCAAAAATCATTGAATTCTGGAGGAGTGCCAGAGGATTGGAAAACTGCTAATGTGACACCCCTATTCAAAAAGGGGGGAGGCAAAAAGCTAGTAACCTTTGGCTGATTAGCCTAACATCTATTTTTTGGAAAAGTATTGGAATCAATTAATAAGGAAGTAATTGCAGAACATTTGGAAAATCATAATCTAATCAAGCAGAGTCAGCAGGGCTTCATGAAAGGGAAATCACGCCTGACTAATTTATTAAAGTTTTTTTAGGAAGGATAGAGGGGAACCAGTTGTGTTTGTGTGTTGTGTTTGGACTTCCAGAAGGCGTTCAACGCTGTACCATATAAGAGCCCACAGTGTCAGAGGTAGTATATTGCCACGGATAGAGAATTGGCTCATGTGCAGGAAACAGGTAGTGTGAATAAAGAGTTATTTTTCAGGTTGGCAACCTGTGACTAGTGGGGTTCCACAGGATCAGTGCTGAGACCACAACTGTTTACAGCATACATTAACGGCTTGGAAGAAGGAAGTCAATGTATTGTGGCCAAATTTACACACAACACTAAAATAGGTGGAAAGGTAAGTAGTGAGAGGGATACAAACTGAGCGACATTGATAGGTTAAGTAAGTGGGCAAAAGGTGGCAAATGGAGTATAATGTAGGAAAATGCAAAGTTGTTGATTTTAGGATAACAATATTATTTAAATAGTGAGAAACTGCAGAAAGCTGTGACAAAGGGACTTTGGGCTCATGAGCACAAAACACAGAAAAGCTAGCATACAGGTGCAGCAGGTAATCGAGAAGGCAAATGTTGGCCCTTAGTTCAAGTGGGTTAGAGTATAGGATTAGGGAAGTCTTACTGCAACTGACAAGGTAAGACCACATCTGGAGTTATTGTGAGCAGTTTTGGTCCCCTTATTTAAAGAAAGATACAATTTCATTGAAGGCAGTTCACAGAAGGTTCACTAGGATAATCCCTGGTATGGACAGATTGTCTTATAGGCAAAGATTAAACAGGTTGGGGCTCTTATTCACTGGAGTTGAGAAGAATGAGAAGTGATCTAATTGAAACATATAGGATTCTTAAGGGACTTGACAAGGTAAACACTGAGAAGATGTTTCCTCTCATGGGAGAATCTAGGACCAGAGGGTGCAGTCTCAGAGCAAAGGGATGCAAATTTAAAACTGAGATGAGCAGGAATTTCTCTTCTCAGAGGATTGAAACGCCCTGCCACAGAGAGTTGTGGGGACAGAGACCTTGTGTCTGTTTGATGCTGAAGTAGATAGATTCTTATCAGTAGGGGAACCAAAGGTTAAGGGGAGAGGACACGAAGACACAAGGATAAAACTTTTTCACTGCAGCCTTTTTCCAAATTGTGCATTCTGCTCTCCTACCATACATGTCAATAGGAGGTGCAAGCAATCAGTTGACACACTTTCAAAATTAACTCAACAGAGTTGAATACTTCATCTCTTGTATGTTTCTTGTGATTTTATACAAATAGAATGGATTCTAGTTTCTGAAGTCTCTTAACTAGCACCATCCCTAAATACCCCAACTTTTAAATGATATACATAATTTCCTCAATTAGGAGTAACCATGGTTTACAAATATAAGATTTAACTTACCCCATCCTCAGCAATCACTAACAGATCATAACTTGGAGGTCCATCATCTCGATCCATAATCTGGGCTGTACAGACTTGACCAGAAGAGGTGTCAATGGTGAAGAGATGTGACTTTTCATAGTTGTTAACACCATCATAAAGAAAATAACAGATAGTACCAAAACGACCACTATCTGCATCTCTTGCACTAACCTGCAGTATGAGGGGGAAAGAAATTATTTTAAGAAGAAACCACAGTCAGAAAGCAATCATCTCAGCTGTTCAAGACAATTCACATCTTTGAGTGCCTGAAATATAATTCAGCCAATGTGTTATATCCAAGACTCAAAGCACATAGCTGCGTGTAATAAATCTTTCCAGAAACATCCAGGATTAACTAATTATACTTTTGCACAGGCAAAGACTTCATTAGTCAGATACTCATATGTCATATATAATTATTAAATCTTAATCAGTGCAAACTAAACATGTATTCCTCAAGTTTACTGACACAAAGTTGACAAATTTCAAGCATTCCTACCCAGGAGAAACCAAGTAGATGATCCCAGGTGCATCAGCTTCCAATTCTCTAAATGTTTTGTACTGATTTTGATTTTATCTGTTCTTTAACAACAGCACACATCTTAAACTGGTAGAACCCTTTACTATGTAAATTGAAATCCAATTACATAACTAGACTCTGAACTGGAATTTCAGATTTGGCTTGAGCAGAGTTGTTTTAGTTAAAGAAAGAGGATGAAACCAGAAGAGGCCTTTTAAGGCAAGCTTCTTACTTTGCTTATGAAGCCAAGAGAAAGAACAGATTGAGAAACTTCCATCCATCCACCATAACCAATTCAGAGCTCTCGGTATGCCTTAATAGCTCTCCCATAGCGGGTTGTCACTTTGTGATTCCTATTGGAAAGGACTTGTACCAATGAACAAGGCTGTAAAGCTATACCTATTCTTCACTTTTCTCTATCCTCAAGGGGTTAGTTCAAACCAGGACAGGACTTACAGTTAATGGTAGGGTCCTGGGGAATGTTACTGAACAGAAGGACCTAAGGGTGCAGGTTCATAGTTCCCTGAATTTGGCATCGCAGGGTGGTGAAGGCAGAGTTTGGCACACCTGCCTTCATTGATCACAGCATTGAGAATAGGAGTTGAGACGTCATGTTGCAGCTATACAAGATGTTGGTGAGGCCACAGTTAGAATACTGCATGCAATTCTGATCACCCTGCTATAGGGAGGGTGTTGTTAAATTAAAAAGGGTATGTAAAAATTTACAAGGATGTTTCCAAGACAGGAGGGTTTGAGTTATAAGTAGAGCTGGATAGGCTGGAACTCTTTTCCCTGGTGCATTGGAGATTGAGTGGGGAAGGGGTGGGGTGGGGGTTGGGGGAGGGGGTGTGTGTGCCTTATAGAGGTTTATAAAATCATGAGGCGCATAGATAAGGTGAATAGCCAAGGTCTTTTTCCAAAGGTAGGGGAGTCCAAAACTAGACAGCATAGGTTTAAGGTGAGAGGGGAAAGATTTAAAAGGGACCTGAAGGTTATCTTTTTCAAACAGAGGGTGGTGTGTGTATTGAATGAGCTACCAGAGGAAGTGGTAGTCGTGGGTACAATTACAACATTTAAGAGACATTTGGACAGGTACATGAGCAGGAAATATTTAGAGGAATATGGGCCTAATGCAGGCAAATGGGATTGGTTCAGTTTAGGACACTTGGTTGTCATGGATGGGTTGGACCAAAGGGTCTGTTTCCATGCTATATGGCTCTATGGCTCTATAACTCAATAACTGACACCTGTCACAGAAAAATAATCTCAAGATAACTCTTCAGAGCTGTAAAAGCAGCATCACCTGTACCAATCCAAGCAATGGAAACACAGTTTGAGAAAACTCAGTGTATTCTAATTAACTGCATAGAGAGGTTTATGCCTCATCTGATTTCATTCACTGTTTGTTCAGGATTCTACACCATGGATGTAAGTCAGGACTCTAGTAGGTAGCCTGCTCTCCTAAAGACAGTACACCGAATTGGGTCTCCAGACCAAATCACGGAAGCAGGATAGCATCCAGTTCTGGTGCACGTGTATAAATTCAGCTTAACAGAATATCACCTCTTTCTGCTCATATTTGTTGTGAGTGGAAGGAGTTCGATAAGGTTCACTTGATATGGCTTTATACTTTGAGGGATCCAGAAATGCTAGAAAAATTAGGTTCAGCTCCTTTGCTGATGTTCTGAATTTTTTAGAAAAGTGGTCTTGTTGTAGGCCTGAGTGAACAATGATCTATTTTATATTGGAAACAACCACACAGACTAACACAGCATATTTAATCTTCATCACTAAAATAAAACAAAGAACTGCAGATGAAGAAGATCTGGAAATAAAACAGAAATTGGTGGAGAATTCAACAAATTTCATAGCATCTGGGGAGAGAAAGCAGAGTTCTGAAAAAGGCTCATTAGACTCGAAATGCAAGCCTGCTTTCCCTTCACAGATGCTGTCAGGGCTGCTGCGTTTCTCCAGTAATTTCTATTTTTGATTCAGATCTTCAGCATCTGCAGTTCTTTATTTTATTTTACTGTTTAACCTCATTGCCACATCCCGTCTTGGTATGCCCCCATATTAAAGAAGTTCTCCCTCCCTCCAACAGGATTTCCGCTCTAATCTTTCTTCTTGTTTATCATCACTACTTTCATTGTCGCTTCTCATGTTTGACAAGTTATTTGCCAAAACTCACTTCCCCAGCCCAATGTCATTCCTCAGTGACTTCCTCCAGCTCAGAGTTACCCCTCATGAATTCCAAATGACATTTTATCCTTCACGTTTCAAGTCCACTTAGCATCACAGATATCTCCACAATGTACAACACTCCTCAGCAACTGTTCTCGCCACATACTGAGACCCAGACACACTGTCATGCACCACCATGTGTAGGCTCTCAACCTCTCTCTCCATCAACACAGCTTTATGTTAATAAGAGCTGTCCTGCCTCTGAGATCCACTTCATTCTCTGGTCCATGTGATGCTCCAACAAGAAACATTTTTTCTTTCTTTCAGACATTAAGGAACAAAATGGCAGTTCTGAAGAAAGGTCACTGGGCTCGAAATGTTAACTCTGCCTTCTCTTCACAGATACTGCTGGACCTGCTGAGTTTCTCCAGTAATTTCTAATCTTGTTCATTGACCTGTCTGCACTTAACTGGCTGTTTTGCAATCTTTGACACAGTTGGACACCTATCTCTTCCAACATCTTGTAACTGTCATCCAGCTGTGAAGGAATGTGCTCATCTGAGACCACCTAATTCAGGTACAGCCAGGGGATCACCTCCAATGGTTTTTCAACCCACTTCCACACAGTTGCCTCTGAGATCGCCTTGACCCTTATCCACACGTCACTTTGATGCTTGACAATTCCAATGCACTCCTGACCAATTTTCCACATTATACCCAACATAAACTTAAGATTGTCCAAACTCTTGTGTATGTAAGTATATATACATAAATATATTCATATATATATTTATACATGCTTCTCATGTTCACCTCAACAAATTTTAATAAATTTGTTGGGGACGATTTTGCCTTCATGAAGCCATGCTGACTCTAATTGATCATATAATGTATTTTTAAATGCTCCTTATTTCATCCGTTATAATAGATGCTAACATTTTCTCAAAGACAGACATTAAGCTAACTGGAATATAGTTAGCTGTTATTTTTCATCTCTTCCCTTTTTTAAAAATGAAAGTGTAACATTGGTAACTTTCCAATCCTCTGGGATTTTCCAAAAATCTTAGGATTCCTGAAAGATTATTGCCAATGCATCCATTATCTCTGTAGCTAGTTGTTTTAATATCCTAGGATGAATCTCATCAGGTCCAGGGGACTTATCTGTCTTTAGCCCCATTAGTTTCCTTAGCATTTTTTTTCTAGAGATAGTTATTGTATTTATTTCCACTCCTACTTTTTGGAAAGAAATCTCTATTTGATTAAAGGTAATCATGGAAGTAGGGTCAAAGTTCCAAATCACTAGGAGCACAATTTTACAAAAAGCAGTCTAATTTCTAATATTTCACACTTGTGCTTCAGCTCATTGTGCCACTACTTCCAGCACAGCAATTAGAGGTCACAATATTTAAAGTTAGTTATAGAATTTGATATCTTTCTCTTTTATGATAATTTCTAGATGGTACACAACTATAATTATTAAAATAAATAGCATCTATGGATTATAAATCTAAATACTTTGTTGACAGGTAGATGATAATTGTAGCCCAGATTGTCTAAAACAAAGCTATCTAGTTCACTGATAGTAGGAACTGCAGATGCTGGAGAATCTGAGATAACAAGATGTAGAGCTGGATGAACACAGCAGGCCAAGCAGCATCATAGGAGCAGGAAAGCTGACGTTTCGGGCCTAGACCCTTCTTCAGA